TTTAACTCTAATGAGAGTCATCTCAATGAAGGTAACAGGCAACATGGTATAGTAGATAGAGGGTTTTCCCTTATAGTTAAGAAGACATGGGTGCAAGTCACACGCCTTAGGCAAGTCACTGAAACTCTTAGCACCCTCTAGGACCAGAAGATACAGACAAGTTGCAGATTAATGCTGGTGGAATTAGTTTCCACACCAGAAATTCCTGACATGGATGAAATCCAAACCCAGACCAAGTGAAAGAATAAGGATATAATTTATGCTATAATACAATTAATTGTTTGTGATTAGTTACATTTATTATCATCAACTACAATTTTACTTCATAAATCCTATCAGATACTATAGAATGAGAGTGTAGCCCCAAATTCTTGTTGACAAATAACAGGTAAGTGAAAAGATTAGCATCCATCAATGGTAGGGACCACTGATGAACTCATCTCATGGATATCATTAACCTTACCTAAACACTCTGTGAGATTATTTTGTGTACCACTAGTTGTGATGACATTTCTGCACCACACACTCCAAAACTAGTCAAAACCTAGCATGGCCTTTGTTGGACTAGTAGGAGTTCTAACACGATCCTCCTAACACATTTCCCTCCCTACCTCTACCCCTGCCCCTACTCCCTGCCAATAACTGAATACTCTGATAATCCATCCTGTAGGAGGTACTTAATTGGACCATAAAAATCATTTTATGTTGGTGCTTTAGTCTTTCTTTTCCTCAGTCTGACTTATAAAACCAAGATATGTAACAACACATATCAACCTAGAACTTTGCCCTATCGTGCATTGTCTGTGAAATCCTCTTTTTTTTTTCTTTACTGTCATTCCTTAGTGGTACTGCAGATGAGTGAGTACATGCATTATCTCTGGATGTGTGTGGCTATCATCCTACGTGAGTGTGTCTGTTTCTGTCCTTGACTCACTTTTTTCTTTTCTTCCTTCCCCTCTCTCTCTCTCTCTCTCTCTCTCTCTCTCTCTCTCTCTCTCTCTCTCTCTCTCTCTCTCTCTCTCTCTCTCTCTCTCTCTCTCTCTCTTCCTTGATGTCTTAGTACCAGTCAGACCCTTTCTGTTTAACTCTTTTCTTTTATTCCAAAAACACTCAACGAGCTATTCAGAGTATGAGTCTATACAGAAGGCACACGCATGGAGTGCTCGCCACTATGGGAAAGGATGTGCTCCCTGAAAATTGTCACATCCAGCAAGCACTGCTGTCCTTCACTGAAGTTAATAAAAGGTAGTCTTTCTTTCCTTAGAATTTGTGAAATAACAAATTTGAACAATGATCAATAAGATTTTACTGAAAATGCATCTTGAAAGATGCAAAAAAAAAATCATGAAAAAACTCAAACTATGGACAGCATTGCAGAAAGGCAGATATAACGGAACATTTATAATAGAAAGCCTATGTGAATGCCAGGTGCTTCAGAGATGGATGTGCTAAGAGCACTCCTACATAAAAAAGGCTAGTAAAAGGCAGAAAACCTGTATGACTTAGCAAGAAGTTAAGTCTGTAATTGAGATATATATACATATATATATATAATATATATAGACATAGATATATATAATATATGTAATATATATGTATATATCCTGATACTTTTCTAATTACCATGCAATATAGCCTAGCCTATAATGTCTACATTGCTCATACAATCTACAAATCCCTTAGTTGCATAGCATTTTGGAGTGATCATTGACAAAATGTATGGAATGTAAGAAATGGTAGCCTATCTTTACTTTCCTGAATAAACTGAGTTACTGCATTCTCCCCACAAATAAAATATCTTTAAAGTTGTGTGTGTGACTAAACCACCTGTAAATTAACACTAGATTTAAGTCTGAGTTTTCTAGCCCTCTGTCTTTACTACCACAAAAAGGGATTTGTAAATATACACATATACACACATAAATATATATACATACGTAAATAAAATCCAGGCAAATAAATAAAATTAACACCACAGTGCAGTACAGTGAAAGGATATCAGCTTTAGAGTCAGAGGACTTAGGTTCAAATTCAGACTTTATTATTTACTACATATGTGACTTCAGACACAGAAGTCTCTTAACTTTTCTGAACATCAGTTTCCTCATCTATGAAAACAGGGGTGGTATGGAGATGGACTTACTTGGCTTTTAATACTCCTTTTTGGCTATAGATTTAAAATCCTATGATCTACAATCTTATCACCTTATTTTCAACCTAACCATTTTAATGGAAATACAGGTTTTACAAAGTGAAAGTAAATGTGGCAACTTCTAGTTTCTAGTCTTGTACCTAGACAATGGCATTAAGTTTTCATTAGGCAGTGAGGTAGTGCAGTGGATAGAGTGCTGGACTTAGAGTCAGGAAGACCTGAGTTCAAATGTGGCCTCAGATGCTTACTAGCTCTGTGACCCTAGATTAGTCACTTAATCTGCTTGACTCACTTGCCTCAAATGAAGGAACAGAGATAATAATTGCACCTGAGACCAAGGTTTTGTGGGGATAAAATGAGATAATATTTGTAAAGGATTTAGCATAGTGCCTGACACATAGGAGGCACCTAGTAAATGTTTCCTTCTTTCCTTCCATTAATCCTCTTCAAGAACAAAGGGATAGATAACAGTAACAACCACCATTAAAATGTGCTTTTAATTCAACAAACATTTTTTAAGCACCTACTATGAGCTATGCCTGGGGATACAAAGGCAAACATTAATTAGTCTCTGCTCTCAAGGAGCCAAGTATTTACTTGGGAGTTAATACTTTATATACAAATAGGCAAATGTAAAATTAATACAGAATAATTTCAGCCTCTGGAAAGGGCTTGCAAAAGAGGTGTCAATTCATCTATGCTGTGAAAGAAGTTAAGGGCGGGACAAAAACAGAAGTGAGGAAGGAGTGTGTTTTGGACACTGGAGGGGAGGAAGAAAGGGGCCAGAGTGCTGTGAAAAAGCTGAATCAGGAGACACAGTGTCATGTAGGAAAGAGGTAGCAGGCCAATTTGACCCGAGTGGACAATTTATGATGGGGACTAATATGAAATACAACTGGAAAAGTACGTATGGGCCAGGCTGCTAATGGCTTCAAGTGCCAGGCTGAGGATTTTCTGTTTTGTCCTAGAGGTATAAAAATAGCATTGAAGATTTCTGACCTGGAGATTTTATGGTAAATCTGTGTTTTGGGAATAGCAATTTCAAGGCTATGTGTGGGACAGAATAGAGGGGGATGAGACTGGAGGCAGGGACATCATTAGAAAGCTACTTCAATAATTGAGGAAAATGCTGATTATTGCAAGTGGAGAGAGACAGTGTGGATATATGACATGTAGAACTGACAAGCCTTGGCAACTGACTGGATATGAGGGTTGTGGGAAAAGAAAGAATCAAGCATAACTCAGAAACTGGCTTTATACTTGTTCTATTTTCTATTTAAAATTCTTATTAATATGGCCTTCTGATACTTCTTTGATGTGGCAGGTAACTAAAAAACTTACTCAGCTGGCTTTTTCTGTTGGTGTCTATCTATAATCAACGTTCTTCTTGTCACTGATTGGGATTTTTTCTTTTCTTTCATACCACTTCCTCAGAAGAAAGTAAGAGGTGTGGGACAGCTAGGTGGTACAGAGAATAGAGGTCTGGCCTTGGAGTCAGGAGGTCCTTAGTTCAAATCCAGCCTCAGACACTTAACACTTATTAGCTGTGTGACCCTGGGTAAGTCACTTAACCCCAATTGCCAAGGAAGGAAGGAAGGAAGGAAGGAAGGAAGAAGGAAGGAAGAAAGAAAGAAAGAAAGAAAGAAAGAAAGAAAGAAAGAAAGAAAGAAAGAAAGAAAGAAAGAAAGAAAGAAAGAAAGAAAGGAAGAAAGAAAGACAGGCAGAAAGGAGGGAGGGAGGGAGGGAGGAAGGAAGGGAGGGAGGGAGGAAGGAGGAGGAGGGAGGGAGAAGGAGGGAGGGAGGAAGGAGGAGGGAGGGAGAGGAGGGACGGAGGAGAGGAAGAAAGAAAGAAAGAAAGAAGAAAGAAAGAAAAAGAAAAAAGAAAGAAAGAAAGAAAGAAAGAAAGAAAGAAAGAAAGAAAGAAAGAAAGAAAGAAAGAAAGGTGAAAGAAGTGGGGAAAAAGGAGGGAAGGAAGGAGAGAAAGTAGGAGAGAGAGAGAAAGAGGAGAGAGAGACTATATAAGGTGAAGACAACCTGTTGCTGCCTAGCAAAATGGATGATAAACTGATAATATTCTTAGACCAGCTGAGTATGGTGCTACTCTGGTTAGAGGGTATGTCACAAGTAAAAAGTATTTTCCTATTGTGGTATGGGAAGGGGAAGGGGACACACCAAGAATAAAGCTTATTTAAACTAAAGCAATAGACTGAAAGGCCTTACTTCTCCTCCTTATGCTTTTCCCCTTGACTCCAACAGTTAGAATTTCTCTAAGGTAGAGATGAAAATATTAACAGTATACACACAAACACACACACACACACACACACACACACACGAATCAGTATATTTAGTGAGCACTTACTATGTATAAAACCCTTGTTGGGTGCTGTGAAGAATACAAAGACATATAAGACAACATCCATACCATCCCCATCTATACACACACACACACACACACACACACACACACACACGCATGCATATACACCATGAACACTTACTAAGCACCTCTATGTGCCAGGTACCATTAAACACTGAGGATAGTTCCTGCCTTCATGGAACTTACATTCTAACGGGGGAGACAAAAAGTACACAAATAGGCATATAACTAACTATACAAACATACATGCAAATTGCTTTAATTTAAAAATGATTCTCTAAATCAAAAGGCATTTCATACTAAACCCAATACAGCCTACCTAAAGCCAGAAAAATCAGTAAGTAACTTTTCCAAGGAATTGCTTCCCATTTAAAATGTTACTAGCTGATAATGGAAAAGTGTTCTCTCCCTCCCTAGGGCAAACTCAGAAAGCTCACTGCGTGAATGCTATGCTTTCCGTTGTGATACCTGTTGCCGTGCACGTGAGAGGCGCAGAATGCAAAGCTGTAATGGAGCAGGGTTGGGTCAATGACAGCACCGCCTTCTGAATGTTCCATCAATTCTGTAAGGTAGCAGAGATGTCTGTGACAGCCTCTTACTCCATAACGAGCACAGTACTCATCTAATACAAAGACTTGGCCAGGGCTAAACCAGCCCTGTAAGAGAAAAGAAAAAAAAAGAATTAAGACATATTTTCTCATCAGCACTTTCATTTAGCTTTGTAGGCAGTTGAATTGAGATTTGTAACACTTGGTGGTGGTGTGTTTTGATAATCTTTTCGGCATATGGATCTAATTTTGTGGTAAACTTTGAAAATGGCTTAGAACAGCCAGTCCCTGATGTCAACTGTACTCATTCCTATGAAAAGGCATTCTGACCTTGTCATTACTCTCTTAACAGGACTCAGAATTAGCAGAGAGCGTTTGTCAAACCTTTTGTACTATTAGTTTCAAACCAAAATTATTATATATATTTTAAAAAGAACATTAAATTTTTTAAAAAGATAATGCTAAAGTATATGTATAATTGGAAATACTAATAGAGGACTACTCAGAATAGAACTAAAGGTGAATTTTAAGAAGCTTTGTCAGTGATAAAAATTAAAATTTTAATTCTCTAAGCAAGCAGTACATGAATTCTCTATCTTCATCTTTCTAATCTCTCTCCTAAAAATGCTTTAATTTTATATTCCTTCCATAATTAGGAAGTACTTACCATAAAATATTTACCCATTCTACTGGGAAGAGACAACATGTACATATAGAAGCAAACACAGAATAAAGACCAGGAAGAGAGAGAGGGATCAAAAAATCCTTTAGATAAAAGAAGGCACTTGTGCTGCGTCCTAAAGAAGGTGAGGGATTCTGCAAAGTTGAAGTAAGGGGGAAGTGCTTCCAAGCATGGGAGCTGACCAGTGCAAACGCAGAGAAGGGAGACAGAATTTCATGTGTGAGGAATAGAGAAGTCAGTTTGGTTAAAGCAGAAAGTATGAGAAGAAGAGTAATATATAATGAGACTGGGAAGATAGATTGTGACCAGATAGTGAAGGGCTTTAAAAACCAAGCAGAGGGATTTAAATTGGATCCTTAGAAAGAAGAGGGAGTCACTGGATTTGATTTTATTTGACTGAAGAGAAGAGTGGTGTGGTGAGATCTATGTTTAAGGAAAATCACTTTGGCAGTTATGTGGAGGATGGATTGTAGTCAGGAGAAACTTGAGGTTGGGAAACCAATTAGGAAGCCATTGCAACTGTTTGGACAAGAGGTGATGATAGCCTGGTAAGAGCAGAGTAGGGCTCTGAAAGGGAAAATGTCTTCAATGAATGAAATGAGTCAAGAAGGTACAAAGAAAGGATGGAAGAAAAAAAGAAAGAACACAGATCATAGAATTTTAGAACTCAGAGGGACTTCAGAGGAAAAAGGAAGAAAAAAACATGGGATGAGATGAGAAGAAAAAGAAAAGTGGTACAGAAAGAAAGAGACAAGGATAAAGGACAAGTGAGCTATTTTGATTACCTTTGTAAGTACACTTGGCATCTTAGTCTAATGCTGTCTTCATATGCATACCATGAGGCAACCCGACTAGAATGCAAACAACAACCAAAAAAACCCAACAACACCCTACCTCATTTAAAAAAAAAAAAAGGGGCAGCTAGGTGGCACAGTGGATAGAGCACCACCAACCCTGGACAAGTCATTTGACTCCAGGAGGAGAAGGAGAAGGAGAAGGAGAAGAAGAAAGTTCTTTTAGTACTTCTGAAACTAAACGTACTTGAATAAGGTCCAAGAAGGATCTCCTTTTACTGAAACATACTTTAGAATGAAGAGCATTTTCTTGAAGGTCTTGTCTTTTCTTTCTTCCTTTCTTTTTCTTTCCTTCCTTCCTTCCTTCCTTCCTTCCTTCCTTCCTTCCTTCCTTCCTTCCTTTCTCCCTCTCTCTCTTTCTTTTCTCTCTCTCTCTTTCTTTCTCTTCCTTTCTTTCTTCTTTCTTCTTTTCTTCTTTCTTTCTTTTCTTCTTTTTTTCTTCCTTCCTTCCTTCCTTCCTTCCTTCCTTCCTTCCTTCCTTCCTTCCTTCCTTCCTTCCTTCCTTCCTTCCTTCCTCTCTCTCTCTCTTTCTTCCTTCCTTCCTTCCTTTCAACAAACTGTTTCTATGCATGGATATATAGTGCCATTTTGGGGGGCTCTGCCCACAGAAGCTTGACCTTGAGGCAGGGAAGAAGAGCGAGGAAACTTTCTGATGGCAGGCTTTTTTTTTTTCCCTAGCTTTCCTCAAACTCTCTTGGCCTTGGACTTGACCTGGGGGGGTAAGAAGGGGAAGAATACCAAGAGTGATTCAGAAGTTGCCCTTGAAATGGATGAGGGACCCTTGGAAGTCATCTCAATGGAACAGCTGAGGATCCAGGTGATCCAGGATATGCCATGTTAGACTAGAGGAGATACTGGGACAAATTACTCCTGGGAGTTTTTGTTGAGAATCAGGACTCAAAAGATTTGGCTAACCTGTTCACTGTTAATCCCCCATACTTTTCTACTCTAGGGAAAACTGAGTTTCCCCAGTGCTAGTTAATCTCTTCAATGTCTGATTCCCACTGTCCCATTCTGGCTGTTTGAAAAGTGTATTTGGAGCCTTGGGGGGCTTGTTCCTTTCCTTTAAAAGTTCACTTTTACTCCTAAGTTTTAGTATGTGATTAAAATGTTGGCCAACATAAACCCAAGCTGTTTGGTATATTTTACTTATTGCTCAGATCTAGAAATAATAAAAAGGAGAGGGGATTAGAAATAGGAGAGAACAGGAGGCCATCAAAATGCTAAAGGCCTTTAATATATCAAAATGTTCTGTAACTTAAGCATTTCCCGCACATTTGAAGTTTTAGCTATTTAAAGAGATGGGTGATTTCCTAGGAAAATGAAAATTCTGTTACAGATTATACAAAATTCTAGCAAAATGAAAGGAGACAGAGGATATCTTAAGTAAGTATAACAAATTAATGTTATTTTGAGTCTTAGAGACCTCATATAATCTTTGTAAAGGCAGTGTATTCATTCAGAGTGAGAAAAAAAAATACTGAGAGAAAGAAATCCATACCTTGAAATTTAAAGAAAGTAAATTAACTATTGTTGCTAACATGGTTATTTTTTCGGTGAGGGGAATGCCTAGCCATAAAATTACAAATAATTTAGTATCTAATATGGAGCTTTGGTATTTATCCATCAACTCTTTTCTTCTACCCATCCCACAGTGTTGTATGACAAAAGTATGCCTCTCCATTTGCTTCCCCCTTATTTAGACTGAAGCCCCATCTTCAATCTGTCAACAAACATTTATTAAACATTTTTTATATTTCAGGCACTTTCTAATTGCTGAGGACACCAAGAAAGGCAAACTATTCCCACCTTCAAGGAGCTCACAGGCTAATGGTGGAGACATCATGCAAAAAGTTTTGTACGTATAAGCTGCAGAGAAAACTGGAGGTCGTCTCAGAGCTAAGGCACTAGCATTAACATGGACTAGGAAAGGCTTCTTGCAAAAGATAAGATTTTAAGTGAGACCTGAAGGAAGCCAAGGAAGTAGTGAGGGAGAAGTGACAAGACAGAGCATTCCTCATGGACTCAGCCAGTGAAAATGTCGAGTTGGGAGATGGAGAGTGTTCTATGAGGAACAGCAAGGAGGTCAGTGTCAAGATCTGGAATGCTACAAAATCTTAAAGCCAAATCTCTTTAGGATTATGGATTTAGAATTGGACAATACCGTTAGAGGTCATGTGTAGTCTAACTCTCTCATTTTACGGAAGTACCTGAGAACTGGAGAAGTGAAATGACCTGTTACACAAGAAGTAAGTGAAAGATTACCTATTGAAACTTAGGTCTTTTGACACTGCTCCCTGGCCATCTTTCTATCTGCTTCCTCATCTACTCTGTTATGGATATATCTATCTTACCTCACTGAACATGCAGAATAGTTACTCACCATTATGGCAAGAAAATCTATACATAGGTTATTATCTACTGAACTAACATGGTAATTTTAATATTTACATATGAAGTATTTAAATAAGCTATGTAAATTAACAGCAGCTTACCTAGACAAATCTTAAATCAGACTGAGTCTAGAGGAAATTAGGCAGCTGGTCTAAAATAAATAACTCATTCACACCCCCCCCCTTCTTTTAACTAGTAAAATTTGGAAGCAGATTAAGGCATTTGGTGTTATGTAGTATAGAGTTTTTGCACATATTTCTTCTAAGGAGGATGAAACTCAGATTTTCAATCAGGAGGTAAAGAGCCTGACTGACATTTGTTACTGTGGACAATGCTGAAGCATGTGAGCACAGCAGATTTTATGAACCTATCTGATTTAAACTCTAAATTTAGACAACAGTACAAAGAAATTGGAATTAGGATAAATAAACAATGAACTTATAGATTATATACATATATAAAAGATATAATATATATTTATATAAATAATGGACTTATATAACATATACAAAGTTAGAATGAAAAGAGGGAGGAAAAGAAGAATGGAGAAATTAAAACACAAGTCAAAGATTGGTACCAAAAAAATTTTTTTCTTGTTCCAGTGCTTTGAACAACTGTCTTTCCTTTAATTTGATCATTTAACAGGCTTCAGTAGATATGAGAGATAATGACTTATTACAGGTTCCATGACAGAAGTCACCTTTGAAAGGTCAGAGTAGCCTCTAATTTGTAACAGTGAGGGTTGTTTTGCTCTTGTTTGACCTCTCTGATGGGTGCTGTTCCTCCTTCCCTCTACCATCACTCTCAAATCAGGAATGGGCTGTCCTTGTCAGCGTATGTAGAAACTGAATGTGGTGGTGGTATTAAGTGATCATGGAAGCTGTAGTTGACAAAACCAAAAAGGAGTGACTTGCTTGCTCACCCTCAATGTTAAAATTCCTTAGTGAAGCTAATATGATAATATGAGTGAACTACTTTGGTTATCCATCTAAAGTGTTGTTTTACTGATCCCTACATTTTACCATGCAGAGTTTAAAAAAAAAAGTTTAGCTCAAACATAATATGGACCAAAAAACTCCTCTAATGTGTAGATATGCCCTAAATGCCCTAGAATACAGCTGTGTGAAATAATCACCTGCACCTTTGAGTCACTAACAAAAGCCTCTCAGTTCCTCAAGTGGAAATTACTTTGTATAGATTTATCTCCAGAGTAACTCTGGAATATATAATTTCATTTCAATTCAACAAACATTTACAGAAGAAAAAAATGCTAACTTTCTTCATATTTAAATCACTATCTGCAATAGATGACCCCAACGACACAAATTCAAAAGAAAGACATTATTGCTTTAATTTGAAACAAAGTAACATCTAATTCAGAAAGTTTAGCTTCGAAGGATTTGTCCTTTAATTCTGGTAAGGGCTGACATGATTATACATAACCACTCTGGTAACAGTAAAAGACTCACATATCAGAGGATGCATATTGCTCATCAGTTCGAGAGGTGTTCTTAATTTATCAATGAAATATGAAACAATTTCAATAATGAGTGATCAAGCAATTTTCAAATGTGAGAAACTTGATCCTAAATAAAATGATCCTTATTCCAGTTTTTCCTATTTTTAAAAGCAACCTATTTCAGATGACAACTTAGTCTTATTTTTAATAATTTTTTCAAAAGGTAATTCAAATGACCTTCTCCTATAGCTCATGAATGAGATCCGCAAATGAAATTAACCTTGACTCTGCTTAACATAAGCACAGTAATCCTATCTGCCTTTCATCTTTTCTCCGTGGTTGGCATGATTTGCTTCATTTCCCTCACTCTCACCCCATGTGAAACAATAGGGGGAATTACAAGATAGATGACAAAATGTCTAACATCTGGTGAGCTGAAGGTGTACCTTAAAATGCCTGTACAGGTGTTAGTAAATCCTACCACAGAGGTTTCTATCTTTATTAAAGCCGTCTGTTTTCATTCAGACCTCTCTAGAGGAGCTGATAAACTACCGACCAGAGTCCGTTTGAGTCTATTCTCTTCACTATTGAGTGACACAGCGGTAGTCTTCAAGTGTATAATTTTCAAATTGGAAGCCAATCGATTGGAATCCTTTATCCTGTCTTGAAGCACAGTTATAAAATGAGTTGGGAATAAAAGAGCCCTTCATAAAAACTACTTCTCACTTTTCATTTTTTTTATTCCAACCTATACGGAAACCAAGTAGACAAATCTGTACTCACCAAACAAGAGTAGGAATCGTTCAGTCTATGATCCAAAGTCTGTCTCTGAAGTAATCTAAAGAGGGATGCATGGTCAAACTTGCAGGGATTAGCAGAAATAAACTCATCCATACCATGTTTCTGAGAACGATCTGCATCTGTAAATTAGGAGAAACACAGACACATACATATGTGTGTGCATATATACGTGTATATATAAGTGCATAGATATATAAACACATATATATATACAAATTATTAAATGGGTAAACATGGCTTTTGCAGAGCATATAATAGTTACAGTATAAGTACAGAAGACTCATGAGGAATGCTGCATCTACCAAAAATGCAAAACAATAACAGAAATTGTAGTCATTCCACTGTTTCTACTGTTTTTTTAAATCCCATTCAAAATTATTAACAGAAAGGTTATAAGAAAACACAATTATTCCTCCTTTTTTCTTTCTCCACAAACCCCTAAATAAATGTAACATATTCCAAATGTAACATCTGGAATTAGGAAGCTAATTTTTATGAAAAGCTACTTCCAATGTTGAGAACATTCTTCCCCACCCCCCATCCCCAATTCTAGGAAGAGTTAATGGATTTGGTTTTGGCTTCTGCTAAAGAATATGACAAGATATCTAAGGATCACTCATAATAACACATTAAAAAAAAACCCAAAGAGAAATCATGACTAGAAGCCTACTTTCCAAATGGCAAACTGGGGCAGAAATGAACACACAAGGCTTAGCTGGATCATTTCCAGCCTTCTTTTTGAATGCAGCTTTTAATGGGACAAATCTTAATGTAGAAATGGCAATGAATGCTCTCAAGCTTCAAGCAAAAAGTCTTGAAAAAGGGAGCGGCATTTTTGTGCAAATATGTAGACAAAGCACAACTTCCCAAATGGCACTTCAATCAAAGGCCCAAATTTATTGTTCTTTACAGACTGTATCTTTCAACGCCTCTAGACCCTGCGGGTTTATCAAAAGACAAGCTTTTATGATTGCTTTTGTTAATGGTACGTTTTGTCAAAGTCTTCAATGTGAGTTATCTACCAAGCATGGACAGAAAAAGCCATACGATGTCCACGACGATTGGTTGTATATTAGCACATTTGCTCTGTTAGATACCATGGTCCACATTGGGACAAATAATCAGTTATCAACATAAAAATGGACTTCCTTTTACAATGGTAATGTTCAAGCTCTTTTGTTCCTTTAAATTCACATAAAGGCCTTTTCATGTTTGTTACAAGAAAAGTACAGCCCTAAATGTATTCTAGATGCAATTTTGAAAACAGGCAATAGCACAAACCAAAAATTTCTAAAGAAAAGGAGACAAAAGTTTATTGATTAAACTCAATTATAGAGTCAGGTTCATAACAAAACTCAATATTGATCTGTGGGCACTGATGCTAACATAATCAGTCACATTTAGAAATTTAGCCCCAGATCATATTGATCCATGTCAAGTTCAACTTTCAGCTGTATTTGTGGATGGAAGAACTATTTAATTCGAGCTGAAGGATCTTCAGCTGCATCTTGAAAAGATACACAAACAAATTTAGATCACTTCGCTTTGCACTGTCAAAGCAAGAATCACATCCATGTGACAGATATCACCAAGGTGGATATAACAAGTAGGCAGTGTGACAGCTCATTGATGGCTTAAGGTATGGGGCTCTCAGGAAAACTACCATATGTATTTCTTAGTACTGTACTGAATAACAATAATAAGGAACAAGCTTTTAAGATACTAACATTAGACAGGTTTAACATAAAGGTGGTTTGTTTCTATTTGGCTAACATATGAGACAACCTGCCATAATTTGTCTTCCATAGATAGTTTGATATTCATTTAAAATACATAAATATAAAACAAAATGTTCAGTATATAAATTTGACATGGGATATTTATGTCAAGGTGAAATAATGTATATGACAGTGCTGTGAAAATAGAATGTGCAGTGAGATGGAGGGATTTATTTTACTAAATCTGAACTATAATACAAAATTTTTTTTTAAATTCTACTTGGATCTTTTTTTGTTTCTTAGTACAATTTATCTTAATAAGGAAAAAGAAATCCTTTCAGTTTTGGTTTTTTGTGAAATTAAACATCCCTCTTCCCCCCCCACCCAAATATTTGCTGCATGAAATCATCATTTCTTTTGGAGACAGAGATTTTTACAGAACAAAATGTTTTATCTCTCTTAAAATTATGATATGTAATAATCTTTTTTGGGGAAAAGGTCCTATAGCTTACTTTTAGTGGTCTAAGATATGAAATATTTTGTTGAGCGTAATCTAGACAAATACGTCTTTCAGTGGAATAGGTCATTTCCCCAAAAGGTAGCTGAACAGTTAATTTCTTTAGATGAAATTCTATTTTATATTGATTATATTACAGAATTGGAGATAGCTTCATATCAAATACTTTGGTTCTATGAACTAAGACATAATTAAAATGCATCAAATGTGAAATTATGAGGAAAGAAGAAATGATTTTTTTTCTGAAGAATAAAATATCAGTAACACTAAATACTTTCCAGATTAATGGTTTTCTTGGAATGGGTAGTTTCTCCACCAACCCAGACTGCAGCTTCTCCATGCCCTCTCAGCAGCTTATCAACACTGGTAGTCCAGGAAAAAAAAAATCATCAGCTGGGGGTCAGCCTTTTAGTGATAAATCTTTTTGCACTATGCTAGGCTGCTGCTTGGATAGAGTGCCTTTCTGGGCCAACATTTCAAACCTTTTCAGGTTAATGGGACCTAACAAAGTTGGTGCACCACTGGTGTTGCCTGAAAAAACCCAGAGTCACCACCATGCCATAAAAAGGGCTTTAATGAAGAATTAAAAAAAAATCCTGAAAATACGTTGCCAAATACAAACAAATGCAAGCCTGGCCAAAACAAAACCGAAAAAGCTTCACTAACAATGGCATTCCTTTGGGAACTAAATGAACTTGGGAGAGAAATGAACTCTACGCACTTCTCAAATATTTAAAACGCTGCAGAGATAAAGAAGTTCTATTTCTAATCAGGCCAGGATGCTATCTGTAGATTACAAATATGCATTATAATAATATCATTCTTTATAGGTCACAGAAGTATATTACCTTATCTGATCCTCATAAACCAATGAGGCAAGAGGAGCAGGCATTATTATTTCTATTTTTCAGATGAGGAAAATGAAATTGAGGAAAGTTGTGGCTTAAGTAAGGTCACACAGGAAGGAGAACAGCCAGGTCTCAAAATTAGTTTTTCTGGCTCCAAGTCTAGCATACTTTACAATACAATGTGGTGTCCCACAAGCATTATTCCTAATATTCAGAATGAAGAACTACTGGCTATGTGTAGTTTATTGATTTGTTTATTTAATGATGAATTTTAAACCACAGAGATCTAGAATCTTAAAAGATGCTGAATTGCTCTGTTCATATATGCAGTCTTTTGTGTTCCCACTGTGAGCTAGGTTTCCAATATTCATTAGCAGGATAATTTTATTTCCTTAAGGGCAGGCTTTTGTATAGTGACAATCTTTAACAATGGTATTCCCTGGTCCAATTCCTAGAGAAAAAGAATTCCATTATAACTCTAGTATTAGGGGACACAGGATGGATCATGGTCTGTATCATGGCGATAAGAGTTATCTTACACATTTCTATATTCATATTTTTATCCATACTACAACTAAATCCAAGATAGAGGTATTACTTTATATTTAAGCCATTGTTCATTCATTCAATGACCATTTATATATTAAGCATATGCTATGTGTCAAACTGCAAACCACTGGGTTCAAGACTGACCTCCTTGAATTCAGTTTACTCGGGGGAAACAATGAGTACATATACAGATATAAAAACACAAACTATATGCAAAATAAATATTAACATTCAACATATTTATTTATTGAACACTTACTGATATGTTTTGGGGAAGTTACAAAATTTAGCTAAGACTTCATGGAATTAATATCACAATAGACGGATAAGCTCTGAATATACATACTACTATCTTTTTCAGTTTTATTGATTTTTTTTTGTTTTTACATTACAGTAATTCTCACCCCTACCATAGTAAGATTGCCCTCCAACAAAGAAAAGAAAGTTAAGTAAGACCAACTCACTTTGGCTGAATCTGTCATTAAACATTTATAGTCTTTGACTTCTCCAGTGAAAGAAGGGAAGTACATTTAAAAAAATCTCTTCTCTAGGGACATGCATGTATGGGCATGATAATTATATAGCATTTCATTTCATTTTGTTCCTCTTATAATTTACATTGTTGCAGTTGTGTTTATTCTTCTCCTGGCTTCATTCTGTATTAGTATATACTAGTTTTCTTACATTTCTCTAAATTCTTGATATTTATTGTTGTTACAATCCTGTCATATGCCATTATATCCATGTGCCATAGGTTATTTAACAATTCCCCAATTAATGGACACCTACTTTGGTTTCTACTTATTTGTCTTGCCTAGATTAGCTAACAGGGAGGTACCCTGTGCTGGGTGCCTCTGCCTCATGGATGAGGGCAGCCTCCTTTGATTAGCTGTGGATCTTTCCTGCTTACTCTTTCTTGCTGCTGTCCAGAGGGTAAAGACCATATTTCACTTACAGCATGGTCACCATGAACTGAAGTGATGAGGAGAGAAGGAAGAATTCCTTCCTTCCCCTGTGCCTGTGTGTTAGTGCTCTCCTCTCTGTCTTTGTCTCACTTAAATCCTGTGCCTTCAGTGTTCATCTTTGAATGAACCTCAGTTTTAGGCGCTGGTAAATCACTGGATTGGCAATATGAGCCATGGTGTCCTTGAGGCCAGTTTTCCAGGCAGAATGTTGCAGTCAGCACATCAAGCAGGAACACCCTGAGAAACCAGCCCAAGAGACTTGGAACTGGACTGTGCTCTATAGGAACTGATCTAAACTATGAACTAAGCTAATTCTTTTTTCCTCCCCAGAGAGAGAGGTGCTATAGAGAAGAGACTAAGTTCCATGTACTGGAGAAGTCAGTTTGTATATTTGTTATTACACATTTTGAAATAAATATTCCTTCGTATAAGCTAATTTAAATGTTAGCGGTTATATGGAATTGGGGCAAAAGATCTATCCTTAAAATTGAGGAAAAACCACTGCTGGGGGCTGGGGTCTTA